TCTGATTGAAATATTTTAGTCACCCTCTGATGAGGCTTAAATGGAAGTCTCCTGGTAAGAGGTGACTTCCCCTTATGTATCATCAGAGCTGCTGATGGAGGATTACTAGAATTATTAGATCTATTTCTGGTTGTAATATCTGTTTCAGTAATGGGGTCAGAAGGCATGATATTCTGTCCACAAACTCTCCAATATCACCTTTCCTTTTCATGATTCAACAGAGCCACAGTCAGGTTTCTATCTACTCTCTACATCCAATTTTAATAGGATTATATAATTTGTCCAATTTGGGAATTTGGATGTAAATAATGCTTCAGACAGGGAAATACTTTTGGCGGGTGAGCACAGTTTGAAGCCAAAGGACATTTTCATTATTATCATGCCTTTTGTAAAATGATTTAACACACATTTCCATTCATGCAAAGAACTACATTATCAAATTTAGTGATATATTTTCTCATGTAACTTCTTGGGAAAAAAAAAAGTACCCCTTGCCAAACTCAATGTTAGGAGTGGGGGAGGAACTTTTGCATCTCTGGCCTAAACATGAAGCTTACTGCCTTTTTAATCTTTGGGTTCAGGTGGAGGGTGGGTTCCAAGACATGATGTTCAGTGTCACTGTCTTAGGCCCACCTCGTGAGGACATTCCAAATCCATGATCTTCACAGCAAAAGGAAAAATCAAAGTAGCTGCTTCAAAAACCACAATTATTCTATGTGAGTTAAATTTCCTACTTCAGATCACAGCACTACACACTAGTGACTAACAGCCAGGTCTGATTTCCATCCCCTTTTCTTTCTTGAAGAGAATAACAGCACACGCACTGCCATCTTGGTTTTGTTGACAAGACTGGAGTTGGGGATGTGAGGAGTCCATGGCAGACACTGGCTCTTCTAGAATTGCTTTTGCAAAAACACCACATGCTGTCAACACAGCCAAACAGCTTTATAACTGCAGCTTTTGAAAGAAGTTTGGAAAGTAAAAACACAAAATATGCAACACACCTTAGTAACATTTTCACTTTGTGACATTTGACAAAATACATTTTTGCTTGTAGTTCAGGAAAGTTCTATGCAGACAAAACAGTGGAAACGGCGGAAACAGTGGCCATTTAGCATTTGGCTAAAGCATCGAGTTTTGTAAATACAGCACTATGGCAACTAACACCAAAGGGATCATAGAATGTGTCACTATCTGTAGGACAAGATTTTGTTCTCCCATTTGCTGTGGATGTCACCTCTGGTCCAGTCAATGGGAGTTACCAAGGATTCAGAACTCTGCAATGTTTCATGAGGAAAATGAATGAAAATGGGCCACACAGTGGGCCAGAAAAGCACGTTTCTCAGCTCCTTCATGGTTCCTGTGACCTTCACGGATCTGGAACAAAGACCCTCTGAAAGAACTTCACCTTTTAACACATCTGACTCAACACCTTTACAGACGGATTAAGAAGTTGAAGGGAAGATGGTAAAAAAAGAAAACCCAAAGCACATCAAAAGATTCTGTAACATGTTGAAATTCACAGGTAGACTGGCCAGATGTTTGCAAAGTGGACAATATCATCTTCAACCAGTTCTATTCTTTTTAATGTTCTCTTATCAATCCTGATGTTGAGAATTTCTATCAACGGAAACTGTTATAATACACCCAGAACTTTTCAATCAAAAGAGAACCCTGTTTAGTGATTTGACTTCATAACTTCTCTCAAAGTCAACTGAAAAGAAAATAACAGGGACTGTGGCAAAGGAGAACACCTGCAGTTGGAAATAACAGAAAAGAGAGAAGTTCCCCTCTTTAAAGAGAACTCTGTCAATTCCTATTCATCTCTTACAAAAAGGCCAATAAAATTTTTGTGGGAGTACATCTGAGTTTTATGAGACTTCCTGCACCGGTAAATGAAGTTTGCATTTAAATCCATAGAGTGAGCTTCCTTTTGGCTTAAAGTATTTTTAATGTAAGCCTGGAAGACTGCACAAGCAATGCTGTAAAAACTGTAAATTACCTTTATGGGGCTGCAGTCTGGTGAAGCTGGGAACAGGAGCGTTTTGGTGGCTCCTTTTAAGTCATGTTTGAAGCTGGACTGTTAGACTTAAATGCATTTGAGGATTGAAAGATTTGGCATTAAGTGGGCTATCCTGTAAAAATTTTAAGTCGCCTACCAAGTATGAAAGACCACCTTTAATTTACTGTTTCATTTTGCTCTAGGACAATAAGACTTTGAATGTAAGTGCTTAGACGGAGTGAAAGGCAATATGATAGGAAAGTATTAAAATCAAACCAGGGTTTAGGCTACAGTGAGTAACCACAAGTTCAAGTACCAGCTAAGTCTGTCTGATGTGCGGTTTCAGACTCTTCTGCCACACACAAACACATCTTGGTCTGTAAATCTCAACAACATGGGTTCTCTTTGGAATTCTGTTATAAAATACCGTACAATCCTGACCTGCAATGGCCACAGAATCTCCTACTGTAGGAAACCTGTAGAAATCTTACGTGGGATCCTGGAAGAAATGAGAAATAGAAAGTGGAAACAAAATGGACTGAAAGGTGGGCTTGAACTTTGGGCTGAAATTTGAGGTGGATTATGTTCTTTTGCTTCCTTTATTTCATTTATAAAATCCAGGCCAAAAAAAAAAAAAAAAAGGAAATACATGAGAGGAAATTCTAGACAGTCAGGGATTGATAATAAATTCTTATCTTAAAACAATCTAGATAGATTCTAGGGAAAACATTGACATTTTCCATCTGTTTTAAAATATAAAAAATGTATCAAAAATCTAAAAAAGATCTGTGGATTCACAGAATAGATAAAACAATTATAAGGCCAATTAGAAGAGAAGAGGAAAATTGGGTAGGATATTTAAAACAAAAATCCATCCAAGATGGATAACAATATAAGCTCTACACTGTGTTTTAAGTCCGTATTCAGCAGTTCAATGCAGATTCTTTCTGCATACCACCCATGCCAATCAACCCTCAGGTTTATTTTGGGAGACTGACCATCAATTTCCACTTCTATCTCAAATCATATCAGGGGTAGCAAATGATGTACAGTTTTGCACTTTGTCTGTTTTGCTCCCGGGAAGGAATAAAAAACTTGAGTACACTAGCAAAAAGGTGTTTTCCTGATGGAGGTATGGTATTTTGAAAATACGCTCAACAGTTCTAAGAGGACTTGTTCTATACAATATACCTTTGGTTCCTGAGAAAAGCAAGATGCTTTTGAATTTCATGTAGCAAAGCCTTCTATCAAATACAGGGGACCTTTGTATACCACACATTCATTAGAGAAAATGGCCAACACATTGAAGAGTTCTTCAAAGCGTTACCCAGGGTATTGTAAATTCAACTTACTTTAGGTCGTTTTTCACTTAGGTGGAGATTCATTTTTTTTAAACGTGAGACCTATGTTTAAAAAACTGACTGCATCTTTACTGCCAAGTATTCCTCATCTCCCCCATTCCCTGACTATCTTTACTCTAATGGAGTCAACTTCTAAGTAGCTGTCCAACCTGTGGCTAATCTAGGTCCTTGACTTTGGTTGTCCTGATTCTGGACAGCTAAATAAAACATCCACCAAAAGATGAGCAGGAGCAAATCTGTTCATCTTTAGTCTACCAGGACATTTTGTCAAAAAATAATTAAACAGGATAAAAGATGGAGTGAAGTGTTAAGATGGGGGTCATGTATTATCTGTGGATTTCAATTCTCCACAATATTGTTGCCTTTCACTATGTTCACTATGTTAATGGTCCTTAAAGCATACTCAGGGAGGTTGAATTATTGGAGCGTGACGGCTGTCTGAACAATGCGTGTAGTTTCTGAGACACTGTGGTAGAAGAATTCCTCATGTCTATGTAGTTGGGAAACATTTAGAGCAAAGACCATTTGCTAATTTCTTAAGAGGCAAAATGAGGATGACCTATAGGTCATAGGCCTATGACCTCTATGGAGAGATTTTGTATGAACACAGTCCGCAAAGGCTGGAAAATTCAAGAAATGGATTGAAAAGGACCATGAAACTCCTCATCCCTTCATAACCACCATGCTGGGGAACTAAATCAACACCTGCACCCTAGAATGACAGCTTGAGGCCTGTGGCATCTGCAATTCATGTTTCCTTGGATCTGATTTGACCTCTCTTGTCTCTCAATCTGTGTGTAAGTTGTGTTCTAATAGCTTTTGCAACTTGAGTGGCTTAGCTGAGAATAAAGATGGTTCTGTTAAGTTGGGCTAGAAAAAATAAATCCCCATACTGAAAAGTCTATGTTCCTTGAAACTTCTTCCCTAGTGTAAGGGGAAGAAAGAATGTGGATAGATTTGTCCTTGGAGAAAATGAAGGTGGGATAGGTATGCTGCAAGACTAGTGTGTGGTCTCTCTTACCTCTCGACCTATTAAGTGGCTGGGATAGATAGGGAATTGGTGCTGGTGTGGTGTACTCAGATTTGAAATTCTTAATGCCCCTCTTGACACCGTTGAAGTCTACAAATGAGTTGGCAACCCTGTCTCAGTTCTAAAAGCCAGTTTACAATGATTGCCAACATCTCCCATTCCAGTTGGTTAGAAAACTCTTGACAGTCTGGTACCAGCATCAGCTGGTCCTTTGGGGACACATCATTAAAAATCTGTTTCAAAACATGCACTGATTTAATCTCAGTCTTCCCAGCTTTGCTACAGCTCATCTTTCCCCACAGTTACTTCTACTAGATAAGCCCTCACGTCGTCCTTGTCGCTCCAAATCTGAGCAGTCCCTCAAGTGTGAACCCAAGTATGGATTCAGAGGAGGCTGTAGAACCGTCTTAGGTTTAAGAGAGCTTGTACTTTTCCCTACCAATATATGTTACCTATATCAAATTCAGTTCCTTCAATCAGGGATGTTGACTGATTATAAATGAAGGCTGAACTCCCCAATGCCACTGGGCAGAAAGCTGCCTCTTTCTTTCCCATTGAAAGCAAATGTCCCAAAGCTGGCCGTCACCCTCTCAGGAGAGGAAGCGGACTAGAGTCCGTTCTGCCTGCTGTAGTTGAAGTCGGCTTCATCGAGCTGGGATTCCGTAATGTTCGAGAGTTTCGTGTGTGTCCTCCCAATCTCTTCAAGGGCACAGGCCAGGGAGTCAAGGTCACCATCGTGCTGATGACGAGCTTCCCACAGGTTCAAGATGACAGCAGACGGGCTACTTTGTGTAGCAAAATAAGACAAATTCCTAGACAGAGTTGAAGAAACAAAATGACAAGACAAAAATAAAAACAAATAACAAATACAAATAGTTATAAGGGAATTAGAAATGAATTGTAATAGCTGTTATTTTGATAGGACTAAGGAGTTCCACTAAAGTGGACCTGGGGATGGTCCAGTTTCTAGCAGATCACTCAAGGGAAACTGCTTTGGAGGGTTTCCAATGACCTTCTTTTCCTGTAAGGGTCTTACTAGTCCTCACCTTCCTTGAGTTGTGTATGTGCATGTTTATCTCTTGAACACCCTCTTAAAAAGCTCTATTCTACTAGCTTATGTGATGATATAACTCACTCTTATTTTTTTTTTTCCTCAAAATATCTTTATGCCTCCGTGGTAAACATAAGGGCTGTCAAGAATTAATCTGTGATTCCTGGGGCTCATATACCAAATGGACTAGTTATCAACACCAAGTGGACAGTGTCTATCTGCACCTCCTGTCTTCTAGATTAATGTGAGCTAGTGACAGACTTTTTAAATGACCGAAGAACTGCTCCAATTAGATATCAATCCTCCTCCTCAGACTCAGCGATCAGGAATCACTATAATCTCCATGCCTCCCACTGGCCCCCATTCTCATAACAAATATCCTACCAATTAAAAAAGGAATCAAACAAGCAAGACCAAAAAAACATCCCAGTAACTACAGCTATTCTTCTAATCTCACACTAGGACATTTATTTTTGAGTCTTCTTTGTTTGTTTCTGACAAACTCAGCAGCTTCATTTTTTATGCTCTATTGTTTTTATAGCTGAATCATAGCAAACGCCTTCCAGCTCGTTATAGCTCCAAACTCTCTAACATCTCCTGCATTTTGTTTCTTCAGTCATCAGGTATCCACCTGTTTTCACTGCCTGCCTTGGTCTGGGCTCATCCTAGCTATGGCTACATATGTATTTTCCCGCCATATTCTTTTTTCCTTTGAACTGACTTAGGGAATGCTTTTCTCCTTGCCTTCATTCAGGGAATTCTGTTGCTAGGAAATGCCCACTTTCCCTCTTTCCCCTCTGTTTATGAAGATCCTACACTCTTACAAGGCCCAGATTGTGCTGGGTTGGCCAGAAGGTTCACTGAGGTTTTTCAGTAACATCTTATAGACAATAGAAAATTCTCATCTCTTTCCTCAAAGTGATTTATTGTTTTTTTTCTCTTTATGCCTCTCCTTAAATTTTCATGTGAGTAGAATTCATACATATATATATGTATATTCCATGTTTGTGAGCTCTGCCTTCTCAGTGTGATTCAGACACTTGGAAGGGCCATAGCTAATCCTTTTCTGATTCTGCAACAACACTTATCGTAATACTGTGACAGGTACTTATTCAATATCTATCGACTGAGTAATTGATTGCTTGGAGCTTGTTTCAGATGATATGAGATTTTCAGTGAAAACAAATGATAACCTTTTGGACAATAACTTTGCTATGATGAAGACTGAGACCACACAGAGGATTAAAGGTCATAGTCTTTCAGAGGTACTTTTACAGCAGGGATAGAAATGTCAGGGTAAAATTCTGATGAATTGAAAAGATTTCTCAAAGTCAACCAAGGTTTGCCTATCTTGAGGGTGGTATGACTTTCGATCATCAGACACAGCGTGTAATCACAAAGTAGACTCTTATAGCCAAGAGCAGTTGGAAGAGAAGACAAGTTTTTAAGGGCACATTATCATTTACATGCAGTGCATGCACAGTAATTTTGAGTGAATAAAGTTCTATTTTGTTTAAAAGTCTTAAGAGACTACTTAAAGCTAGTTGATTGCCAAATAGCACAAATATCCCGGTATGATAGACACTTTCCAATACATCCAAATCTTAGTTTGAGAGAGGTAGAAGCCTAGATTAAAAAATAATTTTCTCTCCTTTCTTTTCCTTTTATCTTCTCTTTCCTTCCCTCCTTCCTACCACTGCCCTCCCTGGCCCCCCCATAATTGGCCCTGGAATCCAGTATAGTTATTTCTACACTAATAGAAATAGCAAAGCAAATATTGTTTCCGTAGTTGAAGGGATCCTGGTTCCTTTTACTCAGAAGATTGCTGTTAATGTTGCCACTTCCTCCTACTTGTAGGGAGCTGTTTGTGGGGAAAGGTGCTATATCTCCAGGTCTATACATAAACGGGCACATCCCACCCAGTGTTCAAGCAGAATACAAACTGGAGAAATAGCTGAAAAAGAGGCAAATAGCCTGAAAAAGAGGCAAAAACTGAGAGGCTAGGTGTGACTGGATTCTGGGTGGGCTGTGTAATAATTTTTATCTATGTAATTTATGAGAATAATGACCATTGACACACATTTGTTCCTGACATGGGGGAAATAATTCTTTATGCTCTCCATTGTCATTTCAAAAGAAAATGAATGCTGGCAAGCACCACAAAAAGAAGTACAAATTTCTCATATTACTGAGGGTTTATATTTTGTATTTGCTATGGATGAATAATGGACTCAGGTCTGGGGGAGTGACTGGAATCCTCGTGATCCTATTAACCCCACAGCTACCCATTATTCTATACCATGGGTGACAAACTATTTCTTTAAAGGCCCAGAGAGGAAATATTTTTGACTGCAGGGACCACATCTGGTCTCTACAACAGCTACTCAACTTTGCCATGGCAGTGGGAAAGTAGCTATTGACAATATGTAAATGTAAGTGTAAGGGCGTGACTGTGTTCCAATTAAAACTATTTATAGAGACACTGAAATTTGAATGTCATAGTTTTCACACATCACACCATATCACTCTTGTGTATTCTCATGAAACCATTCTAGCTCTGGGGCTAGAAAAGCAGGTGTTGGGCCAGAATTAGTCTGTAGGTCATGGTGCCGATCACGTCCCATGGTGTCTTTTAACCCAAACTAGACTTCCATATGCAGTAGCCATTTGAGAGAAGATGAAACTGAATATCCATCTGGTGCTGAAAATAAGCCCTAGAGGGTTGAAGTTGCTGGGGTCCCAGAGCTACATGTCCTGTTCCAACCACTCTGAGATCTTTATTCTTGGTAACTGCTGGGGGAGCTTTGACATTTGACATGAGAAGATGATCTGGGCATGAAAATGTAAAAACAAAACTTTAGGAGAGGCATAAAAAATATGTTTTGGAGGTTGGGATTAATCCTTCTCCCAACAAACCATTCAGAATATTCATAGATGCTGCTGCGGTGTGAAGGTGTTATAAACACACCTGCCTGGAGGAAGAACAGCAAAGCTGCAGGATGAGTCTTGTCAAGCATTGGGTTCTTAGAAGTCCTGCACGTGCCCTGATGTGCAGACTAGGTACCCAGGGCTACAGGAAGCTAAATGATCAAAGAGGCAGAAATAGAACTCTCCCTTGGCACGGATCTCTGAACATATTGTAGCAAGGAAAATGTGCTCCCCAAAGCATGTTTCAGATTGACGCTCTCAATTTATACAAGTACACTCGGCAATACACACAAATCTCAAACTCCACTTAATTTGAGTAGATACATGTAGCAGCATATCAGCCTTATTAAAAATGATTCAGTCAGCTATGTGATGAAGAGACATCCTATTAAACTATTCTTACCTGTCTACCCCAGGATAATTAATAGACAAAAGACCCTAGAGTGCTACTGCTATAGGCCAGGAGTCCCCAACCTCTGGGATTTGAGGCCAGATGATCTGAGATGGAGCGATGTAATATTAATAGAAATAAAGTGCACAATAAATGTAATGCACTTGAATCTCCTCGAAACCATCCCCTGCCCCTTGTCCCCAATCTGTGGAAAAATGATCTTCCATGAAACCAGTCTCTGGTGCCAAAAAGATTGGGGACCTACAGACTACTTCTCAAAGATAGCTGGATTATTTTACTACTTAAGTTAAATGTTGGTTGCTCAGTTATGTCCAACTCTTTGTGACCCCATGGACTGTAATCCACCAGGCTCCTCTGTCCACAGGATTTCCCAGGCAAGAATATTAGAGTGGGTTGCCATTTCCTTCTCCAGGGGATCTTCCTGACCCAGGGATGGAACTCAGTTCTGCTGCATTGCAGGCAAATTCTTCACCATCTGAGCCACTAGTGAAGCCCCATTTTAACACTTACATATGTGCAAATACATTAAGATTTTTTTGAAAATGGGCATACCATATATCCATTTGGTTATCTTCCTACTTCCCTTTTGAAATTATTATTTATTTATTTATTTATTTATTTTATCACAACCATAGTGTATCTTTTTTTTTTTTTTTTTTACATGTATTCCCCATCCCGGTCCCCCCTCCCACCTCCCTCTCCACCCAATCCCTCTGGGTCTTCCCAGTGCACCAGGCCCGAGCACTTGTCTCATGCACCCAACCTGGGCTGGTGAACTGTTTCACCCTAGATAATATACGTGTTTCAATGCTGTTCTCTTGAAACATCCCACCCTCGCCTTCTCCCAGAGTCCACAAGTCTGTTCTATACATAGGAGTCTCTTTTTCTGTTTTGCACATAGGGTTATCGTTACCATCTTTCTAAATTCCATATATATGTGTTAGTATACTGTAATGGTCTTTATCTTTCTGGCTTACTTCGCTCTGTATAATGGGCTCCAGTTTCATCCATCTCATTAGAACTGATTCAAATGAATTCTTTTTAATGGCTGAGTAATATTCCATGGTGTATATGTACCACAGCTTTTTTGATCCCACTCTGTGTGACCCATTTCTCTTCATAATAATGCTGGTACATTTGAACACCAGCAGGTATATCCACACGTGATTCAGGAAATGTTGCTAATACTCGAAAATAGAATTCATAGCAATAGTTGATTTCCTGAGTGTCTTTGTTTTTCTTTTTTGAGGGAGGGGAATGAAAAAGGAACATTTGGCAAAAACAGTCATCTTGAAATTCAGGTGGATGGCTCCAAACAAAACAATTTTTTCCTTTCTCTTTGCAAAATGTTTAAAGATGCAAGTGTTTATTATGCGGGTCTTAGATACTTCAAATTGTTATTTTTTTATGCAATGAATCTT